TGTTGAACACTTGAACAGATCCATCACAAAAGAAGAAAGTGAGTAGATCATAAAAAAGACTTTCCCACAAAAAAATTCTTGGGCCAGATGGCTTCAGGGTTGAATTCTAGCAAACATTCAGAGAAGATTTTTCACCAATTTCACTTGTTGTTGTTGATTTCCTTCGAGTTGAGCACGACTCATAGTGACCCTATGAACAAAAGGCCCTTCTAAAGTATTGACATTTATCAAATTTCACTTAAAAGATTAAAAAAAATAGAAAAAGAAGTAACATTCTCAAAGACACTGTATAATTCAAGTGTAACCCTAATACAAAAATCAGGTAAAGATACTGCTGAAAAGAAATCTACAAACCAATATCTCTCATGTACATAGATACAAAAATCTTTAACATGGTCTTTGTGAATTGAATCCAAAAGCATATGAAAAATCATTTATCATGACCAATTAGTATTCATAACAGGTATGCAAGGATAGTTCAACATAAGGAAAAAAATCAACATGATTGACCATATTAACAAAGCAAATAACAAAAACCATATAATCCTAGCAATTGATGAAGAAAATGTATGTGACAAAATCCAGCACCCCTTCTGATTAGGACACCCAGCAAAACCGAAATAAAAGGGAATTTCCTCAACATAGTGAAAAGCATATATTTAACACAAAGAGCCAATATCATTCTCAATGCTAAAAAACTAAACACATTTTCTTTGTGAACAGAAACCAGACAAGAATACCTACTATCACCACTTTTCTTCAGTACTTTATTGGAAGTACTTGCTAGGGCAATATGACAAAAGAAGGAAATAAAAGACATTCCAATCAGCAAAAAGATGGTTAAACTGTTGCTATATGCAGATTATATAATAGTGTAAACAGAAAACCCCAAGGACTTAACAAAAAAATCTTTTAGAGCTAGTAGACCAATTTAGCAGAGTGGCAGGATACAAGAAAATATCCAAATATCAGCGGGATTCCTCTACAGTAACAAAGCGAACACAGAGAAAGAAACAAAGGAAACAATAACATTTACAATGTCGTTTTGTGCCATTGAGTTGCTTGCGACTCATAGCAACCCTAGGTACAAGAGCCTTAAACCTTGCTCTATCCTGTGCCAACCTCACTGTCTCTGACACACCTACTCCCATTACCCCAATCATGGAATGAATCCATCTCATCGAGGGTTTTTCTCTCTTGTGCTTTCCTTCCACCCTCCCAAATATGATGTTCCTCTCAAAGGACTTGTCCCACCTTGCATCAGATGAGCTTCAAAATCCTTGCCTCCAAGGAACAGCCTGGTTTCAGCCCCTCCGGGACAAACCTGTTTGTTCTCCTAGCAGCCCCTGGTATATTCAACACTCTTCTCTAGCACCACAGCTCAAAGGCATCAATTCTTTCTATCATCCTTGGTCACTGTCCAGCTCTCTGACACACAGCACACAATTGTGGAGACTATGGGCTTGATCAGGAGCACCTTAGTCTCCAGCCTGATGTCATTGCTTTTCAGTACTCTGGAGAGGTCCTTCACAGCTGACTTTCCCAATGCCATTCATATATCTTGATTCCCTGGGTGCAGGTACCAAGAGTATTGATTGTGGACCCAAGAAAAGTAAAATTGCTAACAATCTTAATCTCTTCACCATCTATAATGATGCTGCCAATTGGCCCAGTGGTGAGAGTCTTGGTTTTCTTGATGTTGAGCTTCAATCCATATTGACAGCTGCAGTTCTTGATCTTCTGCATCAAGCGCTTCAGGTCCTCCTCAGTTTCAGCAAGCAGGGTTGTGTCATCTGCATAACACAAGTTGTTGATGAATCTTCCTTCAGCCCTGATGCCACATTCCTTCTCATACAGCCCAGCCTCCCTGATGATCTGTTCTGCATACAGGTTGAAATGGTATGGAGACAGAATACCTCCCTTACTGATTTTGAACCATGCAGTGTCTCCTTCCTCTGTTCTTATGACTGCCTCTTGGTTTAAGTATGGGTTTCATACATTCAATCAAATGTTCTGGGATCTCCATTCTTCTCAGAGTCAGCCACAGTTTGCTGTGATCCACACAGTCAAAAACCTTTGCATAGTTAATAAAACATGGATAGACCTTCCTCTGGTACTCTGTGCTTTCTGTCAAGATCCATGTAACATTAGGTATAATATCCCTAGAACCACAGCCTCTTCTACATCCAGCCTGCACATCTCGCAGTTCTCTGTTGATGTGTTGCTTCAGTTATTTTGTAATAGTTGGGAGTGAACCTAACTAGAGACACAAAGACCTGTACATAGAAACTACAGAAAATTTCTGCAAGGCACAATAAAAGACATAAATAAATGGAGAAATGTTCCTTGTTCATGGATAGGAAGACTCAATACTGTGAAAATGACAATCTTACCACAAGCAATCTATATGTTCAGTGCAATCTCAATACAGATGCTATATTCCTTTTTCAAGATCAAATGGGAAATTGTCATGTTTATTTGGAGAGGAAAGACACCCCAGATAAGCAAAGCATTTCTGAAATACAAAAATAAAATGAGAGGCATGATACTCCTTGACCTCAAAACCTACTGCACAGCAGTAGTAACTAAAACAGATGGTACTGTTACAATGACAGGCACGTAGACAAATGGAACAGTTTTGAGAACCCAGAAATTAACCCATCTATGTATGGTCAACTGAAATTCAACAAGAAAGTAAAACCTATCAAATGGGGAAATGACAACCTCTTCAACAAATGGTGCTGGCAAAATTGTGCTGCAAAAAGCTGAAGCAAGATCCACTTCTCACGCCATAAAGAAAAAATAAACTTGAGGTGGATGAGAGGCCTAGGAGTAAAGCCCAAAACCAGAAAGTTCATAAGAGACTTAGAAGGCTGCGCCCATGATATAGAGACGGCCAAATACAACCAGAAATGCACAGTGTGAAGAGGATAAAATTGATGAGTGGGACCTTCTAAAGAGTAAATCTTTGTGCTCATCAAAAACTTTTTCCAGCAGGGTGAAAAGAAAGCCTAAAGACTGGGAACAAACATTTGTCAATAATATCTCACAAAAGGGTATCATAACAAAAGGTTTTTAGGATTCTCCTGGACGTCCAGAAGAAAAAGACTGATGGCCCAATTGCAAGATGGACAGAGAACGTGGAAAGAGTTTTCACTGAGGAAGACATTCAAGTGGCCAAGAGACACATGAAGAAATGTTCAAAATCACTGGCAAGTGAAAACCACAGTGAGATACCATTTCACCCTAGTATCAGTGACAAAGTTTGGTAGGGCAGCAAGCAAGAAATATTAGAAAGGATGTGGAGAGATGGGAACTCTCATACACTGTTGGTGGGATTGTAAAATGGTGCAACCACTCTGGAGGACAGTTTAGTGTTTCCTCAGAAAGCTGAACACAGAAAGTCCATAGAACCCAGCTATTCCACTACTAGGAATATACCCCAAGGAAATTAGAACAGACACACACATGGAGACCCTTGCAAGAACATGGAATCAGTCCAAAAGTCCAACCGCAGTGAAAAGAATTGAGACATTGTAGTACATTCACACAATAGAATACTATGCAGGACTCTGGAACAATGATTTTGAAAAATACTACATAACTTGGAAAATGCTGGAAAGTATTATGCTAAGTGAACTAACACTATCACATAAGGACAAATACTGTGTAAGACCATTATTGTGAAAATAGAAGAATAACTAGTGAAACATGTATGTAAACTCAAGGAGGGGAGGGCTGAAGATAGCTAAGGGCAAAACCACAGGGTTACACAGTTTTATGAGTAGAGGGAGGGGAGGGACATAAGTGGGAAAGATCCAGGCAAAAAGACAGGGATTTAATGATGGACAAGGTTCAATGGTGTCTAATTTTATAAAATATAGTGCTTGAGAATAATTATATGAAACACAATGTGAATGAAGAATAGTTTGAAACACAACACAAACTTTGTAAGCAAAATAATAAAAACAATAAAGAACAAAAAATGCAGAGAAACTAAGTGCATGTTAGTGAGTTTTAAGACATATCTATCTATGCTTATGTAACTAATGATGAAAAGTCTTTTCTTCGCTCAGAACAGTCTCCTGGGCTTCATTTCTGCTTATCTTTTTCACTCTCCACATCCACCCCCAGCTGCCCCAAACCAGTTCTGAATACTATTCTTATAAATTAATCTGGCCTTTTCTTGAAGTCATTAAAAATCAATCAAGAAACATGTAAAATAAAAGCACAAAACATGCAAAATTATTAACATTTGGCTAATTTTCTGTTCTTCTCCTTATTTTCTTTATACATTTCATTGGAATTAACCTACATTGAGAAATTTGGTTTTTTATAATTGAATGATATTCCTATATGCATCTAAAATAACTGCTCTGAGATGAACAAAATGTTTCAATTTCTTTGTGTTTTGACTTTTTTTAAGCAAAGAGATGTCCCTACAATATTACCAAATGTTCCTTGACTACATTTTTCACACAAGGGACTGTCATGCACCTAAGTACAGAGAGCTGGGATTTCATCGACAAGTTGCATGAATGCCTTTGTTTCTGTTAATAATTGTATGACAATGATAGTAACAGTAATATGTTAATATTAATAATGTACATTATGTTAGTAATATATACTATGTTACTATGATATATAATATATATAATGTTACTTTTACATATGTTACTTATATCTATAATGTTATTTATACATATGTTACTATTAACCACCAAAATGGTTTAAAGGAGCACTAGTGTTGTAATTTGTTACTTGTTGAGATACTAACCTAAAGTTCAAAATTTGAATCCACCTGTGGAAAAAAGATTATATAGTCTCCTCCTATTAAGACGAACAGCCTTGGGAACCCGATAGACTTTTAATTTTGAGCTTAAAGTGGTTTAGGTCAATTTACAACAGGATTCCCTCTACCTCTAGAAAAAATTAAATCCAATCCAAATTCTCTATGCTTGTCCTAGTCATAATATTCTTTCTTTTCTCAGGTTACTTACCAATTTTTTCATCTTCCTGAACCATTTTCCTTTCTTCTCTGAAAGCCCTGAGCCAGCGAATCTTCTCCTCCAGCTTCTTGGCAAAAAACAGATGCATTTCTTCAGTTTCCTTGTTGTGAAGTTTAAATGCATTCTTCATGCTGACATTGAAATCATCATCTCTTCCATCTTCAGTGTCAACTACTTCATATTTATCCATGTCAATACGGCCTTTGTAGTACAGGATATCTCTCCGGATCAAGTCCTAAAAGAAGGAAGAGAAGATTTTGACAAGTGGAGACTGTATGGAAAATTAATACCAAGAGAGCTGATACATGGACAAGACCCTGAACTGCCACTGTTTTGGAATACCAATAGGTATTGGTTTGGTCTATATTTGGGCAGGTCAGATTAGCAAATACACCATCAACAGGTTAAAAAGATGTTTTAGATAATTTCTCTACCCCATAGACAAAGACTGTCTCAGACCCTCATATGTGTTTTGCACAGTATAATTACTGCCATAAGTGACTGAAGATTAAAGAGTGACTTTAAAAGGTTTGGGTTTTTTTTCCAAAATTTTGGCAAAGCTGCCACAGATATCAAGTGGACTGGCTAGATGCTTGGAGCATGTGAATGGATGAAATTAACAGATCTTACTGAAAAGGAACAAAATTTAAATGGCATGCTCTCTTTTTGGTGCTATTGTTGAGGTTGTTTTCATCTCATATTGACCAAGTGTGTAATGCTCTTATTTGTCTATTTATTTATTTGTTTGTATAATTTTTTATGATGGAATAAATGTTGATAAACCCTTCATACAATTCAAAACCTAGGAAATGAAGGCAATCTCTATTTTAAATCACAACCTCATAGTTTCCCTTGTTTCCTTTTGATATAGTTTTATCTCATATGTGTCTATTCCGCTTGTATAAGGATGAAAAACATGTTAAAATGTACACATAATATTTTGGGATACATATGTAAAAACATTATGAAGAAATGAATGGTAATGATATATGTAAAATTCAACAGAGTAAATGAAGATAAGGGGGAGAAGCAAGGGAAGAAGGAATTATGAGAAGAATAATTGTATTTTAATGAAGCATTTCTTTTGTTAAAAAATTTATTATTAATTTCAATGAAAATTTACAGAGACTTTGGATTTCTGTTCATTCATTGTTGCACTTTCCCCCCTTTCCAACCCTCCCCTCGGGTACACTACCTTCTTTGAAAAGTAAAAGAAAAATTGTTTCATTGTTTTACAATCCCTCCACCCAGGTCCACTCCACTATGCAGCCTTTGCTCTGGACACCTGTCATGACAAAAATACCTAATAATATATCCCTTTTAAACAGTTTTCTCTCTCATCTGTTTCAATGCAGTATACATTATTGAACCCATCTTTCTCAGTCTCCTCCCAACCCCAAGGTCAGACCTGTTTTACAACAGTGGCATCATGCAGTATTTGTCCTTTTGTGACTGAGATACTTCACTCAGCATAACGTCCTTCAGGGTCACCCATTTTGAATAATATTGCATGAGTTCCTTGTTTTTTCAATGCAGCGTTGTTTTTCATTGTGTGAATATACCACAGCTTCTCTATCCATTCTTTATTATTATTATTATTATTA